TTGCAAATAAGTATAATGATAATAGATCTCTAGTTATATTTCCTTTTTTACTATGTCTTCTGTCTTATTGACACGGACTGTGGGCATTTTGCCCTATTAAAAATGGACGTTCTGCATATTATTGCTATCTGGAAGACTAGACCGATGAAAGAAAGATAATGGCGCATGCGTCACAGGAAGTGACATATCGGAATAATACGACCGGACGGAAGAAATACTTAAGCTGCGTCTGACAGCTGAAGATAGAATCTAGCGGTGACTACGATTGGATACAAGGAGCAGACTGTTTGGGGAAGGCAAGAAGGGTATGTGCAAAACCGGAGGTATAGCCACATTGAGGATGGGCAGTACTTCCAGTTGTGACCATATATGGACGTGGGTGGTATTTTTATACATATGTTTCTAATTGCACACTTATGTTGATGTTTCCTTTTAGTATATAAGAGCTCATTTGAAAACATATGCACTTGAGACAGACCTAGTTTAAAGGTTAAAACGTGTTGTGCTATTCTTTTATCGTTTTTAATCTGTTCTCAAATGAACTTTGGTTTTTAACAAGTTGTTAAAAACCTTTTACTAAGTATTGTTATGGACAGATGAATTAGAATAAAATGGCTATTTACTAATGTCTATTTATTCTGTGTTTACTATGTTAAAACTGGCTGCTAGAGTAAATATTCCCTTCCCCCCCTACAATGTGTTCAGTCTCTGTTTCCTCTGTAAATTCCTCATCCTGCTAAGCATCCCCCTTCCCATCAAGCAAACCTTGTGTAACCAAAATTCCTGTGTTAACAGCTTCCTTTACTAATTCCTCCCCCACTTCCTTTGTGCCAGTTAACAGCTATATGCCACGTGTAACAAAATGGAGAATCACTGTTAAAGTAACTGAAAGAAACTACTCACTCCCCCTGTCATCGTGTATCCAGGAGCTGGAATATAGGCGGGAGAAGTCTGTAATGATGACACTACATCCTGTAGGGGGGGGTTTAGACAAGACCCCTTAGACTGTTAACCAATTGTTGAATGTATACTGTATGTTTAAACTGTGACGTATTTTTGCTTTAAGAAGGAGCCCCCACTCCGGGGAATAAAGCATTCCTTGGTTTTTCACTGATCAGAAACTTTGTCTCTGGTGCGAATTACTTCTAGGGAAAGCGTGCACGCATTAATCAATCAATTTGCAAGGTGTAGATAGACAAATTATCAAAGTTTTCTTTGATCCAAAACATTTGGCGCCCGAACAGGGACTGAAGGGTTATGTTACTAAGGAAGCCGTAAAATCCCAGGACCGGAGAGGAGACCCCCAGAGATTGGAAAAAAGAGCCTGATCATATGGTAAATGAGTAACTTACCTATATTTTCCCGTCTTTGGAATTGGTCTGCACTCCGTTCCTTCACTCGGCTTCCTTTGGTTAACGTCTTCAGATAGGAGATATATATATATATATATATATAAATAAATAAATTAAAAATACAAATAGATGGTTGCACTCACGGTTTTTGAATTAAAAGTCCAAAGTTTAATGTCAGATAGTAAAAGCTGTGATCAACGTTTCAGTCCTTCCATGAGGACCTTCATCAGGATCATAAAAAAAAAAAAATTTTATGATCCTGATGAAGGTCCTCATGGAAGGACTGAAACGTTGATCACAGCTTTTACTATCTGACATTAAACTTTGGACTTTTAATTCAAAAACCGTGAGTGCAACCATCTATTTGTATTTTTGTATTTTTTGGGCTATGCATGGTTGGCACCCGGTCACAAAGGGACATTTCAGCGTGAGTGCAGGAACTATTTTTGCTTTTTTATATATATATATATATATATATATATATATATATATATATATATATATATATATATATATATATATATATATATATATATATATATATATACCCGAATGTCCCCTTTTATATAGAACCTGTCACTTGTCTATCTACAGCCTGAGTCCTGAGTGTGAGTTTTATGTGTGAAAGTGTCTGTTTGAGAATCTATTTTACTTTCTTTTGATTATTGAGGTCGGGTTCATAGAAAAAACCTGGCGATTGAGTTCAGGGTGCAAAAACCTGGAGATTTAGGCCGGATTATATTAATATTTTAATATTAAATCTAGGCGTTTCTTTTATTATTGAGTTATCAGGAT